ACACTGAGATGGGAATGGCCCGAATTGCTAACTGGCTTAATGTCAACTTACTCACCTTAAACACGTCTAAGACTAACTACATTTGCTTTGCCATCTCCAATCGCTCGCAACCAAAGGAAGACTTTACCATTGCAGTACATTCTTGTGATAAAGCCCTGCATGACAATTGTAGGTGTCCCACAATCAATAAAGTCACACAGACAAAATATTTAGGAGTCATAATTGACCATAGGCTTTCTTGGTACCCTCATCTGGATCATGTTAACGGAAGACTTAACAAACTAGGTTGGTTTTTTAAAACCTTGCGATATGTCGTGCCTACACACACTTATAGAAATACAGGTCCACCAAGAAACATATTAAATGAAATTTATATTGCAATTGCGCAATCAGTATTGGGGTACTGTATACCTGTTTGGGGGGGTGCAGCAAAATCAAAATTTATAGAAATTGAACGAGGACAACGAGCATTAATTAAAATCATGTATTTTAAAAAAAAAAGACATCCAACAGAAAATCTTTACCAGATAAGTGGACTACTGTCAGTAAGGAAATTATACATTGTTTTTATTACTCTAAAAAAACATAAGACCTTAACATATGATTTAAACATATTAAAAAAAAGAAGAAAAGACATAATTGCACTAGTCCCACAAACAAAAACTAGACTTGCTGCCATGCAATATAACCGACGTTCTTCAGTATTATATAATCGCATAAATAAACAGATATACATATACACAAAAACATTAAAAGAAAGTAAAATAACATTGGTAAATTGGATAAAAAACCTTACCTATGAAGAGACTGAATCACTCCTTGAGCACATAAAATAAAGAAGCACACACACGCAGTAGAGCCCACATCCACAATTACCCACACTTACACACACGCACGCACACTCACACACACACACACTCACACACACACCAGACACTCTCACACACACACACGCACATGCACACACACACACACACACACACACACACACACACACACACACACACACACACACACACACACACACACACACAATCACATAGTTATAAAATGCATGCTTAAAACTTAAAAACTTAAAAATTAAGGATAATTTAGGTGACTTTTAAATGTATCGATATGGAAGAGCGGTGTCTCCTAATACAGGCATTATTTGCTTAAAAGGAGGCTCCAATCACTAAAATTTGTTAACGATTTCTTTTGGTACCAAATAAAGATTTATTATTATTATTATTATTATACTTTCTTTTATTTTTTAATAATTTAATATTTATTTATTTATTTAGGTGACTAGAAGTGATTTTTATACAAAAATCACCAATAATATTTAAAATATATTACTTTTTTACTTGCGTTATTACTTAAATATTTTATCAACAATCTTTTAATTAGGACATGCCGATTACTAATTAATACACAGATTCTTTTTAATAAAGAGACATTTTACATGATAAGAAGTTTCCACATACGTAGGTAATTACGTGGGAGTAGACATACCTATGTAGGTACCTACGTATGTATGTGTGACTGAGCTGACAAAAAAAAAATGCCAAAATAATCTTCTCAACTTGAATATCAGCTAGTCGCGTCTGCCTCAAGATATAATCTTACTATCCCTGTTATATAGAAGTGTGAAAAAAAGGCTCAAGACGGTTGGTATTGTCTGCAGGATTAGCCACGCGCCCCCGGCGACTGCTGTGCAGTGTCAAGCGCTGGGGTGTGCTGCACTTGTTTACCCACTATATATTTTTCTTTTAACTCAACTAAATTGATTTTAAAACTATTTCTGCTGAAAAAACTACTTAATAAAAAAAAAACAATCGAAATAAATTTACATCCCATATTATCTAAGTTGCCCTCATTTCTATCAAAATGTTCCTATAAGATTTAATAGCGAAAATCATCGCGTGACTGACGATGCATTCAAAAAGTCATTAACATAAATATTTAAGTAGGCAAATCTCTCGTGACTTCGAAAGAAATTCGTGAGAATAACACGAATCGGTTATCAAAAACTAAACACCACCAGATTAAATTGGACAAAACCGATTTCCGATGAAACTAATCCCGGAGCCAGATTGCAAATAAACCATAACATTTGTAACTAACGTGCATAACCATTATTTTACAAAAACGTCAATGTTAGCGACGTGTAATATATCATTTTAAGTCACGGCAAACAAAGCCAATATAAAAGCTTTCACACGCGATCCCTAGACCGTCGTCGGCAAACAAACACACAGAACTATCCGGAGCTAAGCCACTCATGAATAAAAGCTTCATTTTCGGACCCTACCAATAAATGTTAATTTTTGTCGTGAGCGCACGCATTGCAAACAAAATATTAATCCGACGCGCGTTAATGGAAAACGAGTAGAAGCAACACAAACAAGTGAACGTCGGCCGGGTTCGCCACGCGCCCCGCTCTGCTTCGGGGTGGACCAATAAATTGCACTGACCTCAGCTGTTAAGTGCAGGGCTGCAGCGCGGGGGTGCAACCACTTAGCGCCAACCGCTCTTACACACTTCATATGATACACTGCATACTTTTATAATGCATCATCCATGTCACACACATAAAAACCATGGACAATGCGGTCTTAACTCATACACTTCTTATATCTACGGCAGTCATTTGTCACCATTTTAATACAAACTACTCATTCGCTGAGAAATGTTTTGAGAGCTTTGAAGTTATACACTTAATACAGAAAATCATTTTATCATCTTAAGATGTTTGGATGGCATCTAAAACGTATATGACATTGTAAGTATTTTTTATTTTTTTAGCGTAAGCTGCAAGGATTATACTTCGCCTTTGGAATTGGGTAGTTTCCTAGGTCAAAAATAAATTAATTCGATGTTTCAATACTATAAAATATTGAAAAATAACTATACTTTTATTCATCGATCGATCGATACACCAAGTTTTAGATTTTTTTAGCTAATTATTGTGAAATAAGTAAGCTATTTGACGCAAAAATGTTATGACGTCATAGCTTAGTTTTTCATACAAATTTCATAGAAAAGTATCGTTTTTGACGTTTGGATAAAAGTATTGAATTTGACTAGTTGGAAACTACCGTATTACAATGCGACAGTTATCTACAAAATTTAACATTTTATAATCCAAAATCATGTTGACTATAAATAAAATATTGGCAAAAAATTTAATACATATATCAACCATAAAAGTCAACTGTTAATTTTTAGAGCTGGGGGCCAGATACACCCTGTATGCTCGGAACTTGTTTTTGTATCTCTTTCTCTTTCCTAATTCGAAATTCGAAATTTGAACATATTTGATGTGAACACTACTCGTAAGTAAGATTGACCACGATGTATGAGAGTTAGAACTTCACATGGATTTATCGCCGCAAGACATAATTCCTTAAGTAGGTAGTACTATATCCTTACAATAAGGGTGGAACTTTTATGAAAAGAGAAAGGAACAATACTTATTCGGGATACAGAAAATGAAAAATGATTATATTAAGTTGAACAGCAGTGGTAAGACATAGTTTTACGACCTAAATACCCCGCACTAGTCAAGTGTTTACCCTTACAACCAAACAAGCGTCTTGCAATAAACGTAAGTAGCGGATTTCCTTCAGTATCTACATTAATTAAACTACTCCTTGTTTATGGTTTAGTTGTTTAATTAAAGCAACTAACATATATATTATATTCATTTAGGTATATTTCGAAGTTTAAAAGCAATCTGTTACTGCTACGTATTATTATTTGTTCTACATACTCTCTTTGTCAATGTGTGTTTCACATCTTAAACAGATTGAACAACTTGTGTAAAACTTTCATTTAATTCTGTACGGTATTTTACAATAATTTGTAAATACGTTATCTGACGGACACCTAAACATATTTATTAAAGAAAACATCACTAAATCGTCCATGGCACGCTTATCTCACCCTGTTGGTGGGCCTTTATTAGATTAATACAATGAAAATTAAAACAATTTGCCGGATAAATATCTTCGCGCGGAGTATCAGTGGCGTCCCTATTTATCCGTAGTGAAGGGCAACGCGGATAACCCCTCTTAAAAGCTAGGAGCAGTCAGCATTAAATGGAATAAAGAGAATGAAGTCGAGCGGTCGCGACACCCCGCGCCGCGCCTCTGCCCCGTAAACGTCCTCGCCGCTTTTGCGGGGCCTCTGAATTTCATTAGCGACCCCGGGCCCGCCTCCGCACCCACCGAAAGCCACTTTACAACGGAAAATGGCATTATGATAATACTTAGAGCCTTATAAAATTCGCTGAATAAACATTTTTGTGTAATTCTACAATAACATCAAATTTTTCCAAGCGAAAAACACTTGAAGATTTTATTATTTCATTGCACTTTTATCGCCGTTATCTTCTAGGATAAAATAAAAAATTAAGTCATTTTACAGAAGTATAGTATTAAAATACTACGTATGCTTATTTCATTATATACAATAAGTTAATGGATTGGAAGAGTAAATTAATGCAGCAAAAAATAAAAAATCAAGAAGAAAGGTTATGAAAACTGGAAACCGTGGTTGACCGTTAATTGTATCGCTCGCACATTCCGCGGTGGAGAGTGCGGTGCCGCGGGGCGCGCCGGGAAATGCGAAATAAATGCTCGGCTTAATACGAAAGGGATCGGTAGCAGCGCCCGCGGCGGGGGAATCGCGCCCCAAAGTGGTATTTTCACTTCGCTAATCGGATAACCACTTAACGAATGGGTCACTGCACGCCTAACGTATTTTCACACGACTTTTCTAGAGGGGCTACAAAATCCGACGTCTTACTAGCTAAAACTTACGTACGGCTTGTAACGGTCACGTCAACGATTCAATCCGTAGCGTATCGATTTTTTGGAACATTTTAAGCCCCTTTATTGTTGTCGCGTCATTTATGGCCTCGGCTATTGCGACTAATCTGATTGCAATAACGTGCGCTCGCTCGTTTATTGCTCTACGGACATAAGTATGATCGATGAATATGATTATCTTTACAGATGAGGAGCGAAAAGGAGACGAGATGCTGCAGGGCATGCACCACCAAATGTTGGGCTACGGAATAAAGGAAGAGTCGAAGCGAGGCTCATCTGACTGTGGTGTGCCAATACCTGCTTCTAAACCGAAGATATGGTCTCTAGCTGACACAGCAGCATGCAAAACACCGCCACCCGCGGCACAGCCATGGCCGCAACATGCTTATGGGCCGCCGGAGCGTGCAGCGCCCTCCGATGGCGGCTCCAATGGTTTCGCTTTGCCGGCGACAGCCGCTGCGAGTCCGGCTAGTGGTTCTTACGGGAGGTACGGTGGTTTCGCCGGTGGGCAATATGGTGGGCAGCATCCCTGCGTGCATCCAGCATCGTTCCCTGACGTGCAAACCGATACACCACCTCAGACACCCCCTAATATGAAGGTTCCCAGCGTCGCCAACCCACTTGGCAGCGGTGGTGGTTCCGGCTACTGCTTCCCTCGGCATCAGCAGTCACCTCAACGTGATCCCTACCACAACCCACACCACGCTGCTAACAGCCACCAGCCTAACCAACCGCATCACAACGAGGGATCAGCAGCATTCAAGCCTTTCTATAAAAGGTATATAACAACATTTCAATTCACTGCATGATTATAGGAACATGAACATCCCACTCCTAGACACGGTTCAGTAGGTCATATCCTGTGAGATATTGGTAACGTCACGTGAAAAGAGTGAATGTTTCCTATTCCAGCTCGCTCCACCACCCCCACGGTTTCGTGCCGGCCGTCTGAAAGCAGACCGCGCGCCAATAGCGGTGAGTTACAGATTGATTCAGATTGACGAGCTCGAGCACAATCGCAACGCGCACATGTAAATGAGAGTAGCGCACGTAATGGACGATCGTGGTGGAGATATCGGAGGGCCATAAACTGAGTTGCGGTTTAGTAGCGGAGCTCGCGCCGGGGTGTCATGTCAGTAATTGAAAACAATGGAGTTGAGTCGAGGCGGAAGGGCGACGCGCGACTCGAGGGCGGCGAGATTGCAATCTTGTGTCATTTGTCATTGTCAGAGCGACGCGTTCCTTGCGCCTACACTCGTATCGCTGACCTGCCTAAATTAGCTTTCTACAAGTATGTAAACTTGTTGCCATGGACATGGACGTGAATCCGCCAATATTTCGTCCTGTATCACAAAAATATTTTAATTCGGTTTGTTAAAATAAACACCTAGATGTCACTATCGATATAAGTGAATGAGAAGAGTGCGAAGGTAGCCGTAGCAGTTTCCCGTCCCACATATTTCTTAGAGTCGTCAAAGATTTTCTAAGAAGAAGTAGTGGCATCCGCGTCTCATTACAATAAATCGCCTCACCGCCGTCGCCGCACAGGACGGCACCGCCAAGAATTTTGTTTTAGCCAAACGCTCACAAATTCACTTCTATAAACCTTTTGTATTATTTTGGTTTTCACGCCTTTTTGTCCCACGAATTCTTTGACGCGAAAATAACTCCTTATCGCGGCATTCCTTTAAAGTAGCCCAAAAAGATCGGATTTAAATTGTCAGTTTTTATTTTCGCCTTAAATAACATTCCTATGATTTTTTACCTTTTTTGCTTTTTCAATGTAATATTGTTACTTAATTGGAGTTCAATCAGATTCAAACATTTACTAGTAAGTTCACTTCGAAGATCTTAGTGTAGTGTCTCGTAGTTAAATCCATTCAGTACCTCTAATTTAAATAACGCGGCACAGTCGTTGGGAAAACATAAAAGTGAATGCATCGTTGTACAATGTGCAGCTATTGTTTGTTGTGGAGGAAGCACAGTGGTGGCTGCGCGGACGCACGGCAGCCGGGCGGTCCAGTGCGCAGCCGATAACGCGCGTACCGCGAGCGTGCGTGGGCGCGGAATCTCAATGGATCCTCTTCATTCACAACACTACCTCCGCATTAAAAGCTGCTTTACTTTTTTTGACGCCCTAATCTTCCCTCTTATCTCTCGATCCTGACTCGGGTCCTTCTTCGTTTCATTCAGTCGTAGGTCGTCCGGACAACCTGTTTGACTTCTTTTTTCATTGACGCCGTACAAACTTTAGATGACCGCGGCCGAGGTCGAGTTTTTATTTCTTTCACATTTTGGTTTTCCGGTCCAAGCGATTCGTTAATAAATTCTCAGATAATGAGACTGAACGTTTCGTCACCTCATCTCGATTGGTTTAGATTTTTTCTTTTTCGGTTTATATGTGTGAACGCGGCGGCGGGCTCGCACCGTCGACGCTGCGATAGAATCGGAACAGCTATCGGAATGGACCTTCTTTTTTGTTAATTTAAATACCGCTATAGATTCTTTTTAAAGGATATGGGATGTTTTATTGTTTTAAAATAAATCGAAATGATGCGGCCGTTAAGAATGAGAGACCCTTTGAATGAATTTAATTTGGTGTAAGATGTTGGACCTCAGTGTGTATAATGTTGCAATCGTTTGTTGCAGGTAAAGCATGTGAAACCTGGGTCGCTGCACTACCCGTCTGCTACTAGGGACTGTCAGATTATCACAGTGGCACAGTGTTTCAGTTCTACGTTAAGATCAACACGACTATAGTTAATGGCCTCGGACTGGTTAGACAACTAGGTCTAAAGACCACTTTGTAAAATTTATATAATTTGGTAAATACATTTATTTGTATATCACATAGTGTAATTTGAAAATTCCTGAACTATATGCACAGAACATACAAACTCTAATGTGTTCCGTTAAGTACTTAATTTTTTTAATGTGGTTATCTGTCTATGGTTGTCACTTGTCACTAAGTACTTATCGAATGAATCATTGTATGAAATCGACGTTGCTCAGTATTTTTATAGACTTAAGAATATTATGGAAATAATATCCAAATTATTTATAGATACATGGAAAGCGCAATTTTGTGTAATGAAATTAAAACTAGCCTATATTGGTTTTAGTGAATTATTGTAAATTTATTATTAATTCCATGACTGGAATGTTCTACATAAAATAAGGGATCTTATAATTATGTTTTGCTTAGTTCTTCCAAACTTATGTTTATGACTTAAATTTACTTGTGGAGCAATAAGTTATTCGTTAGTACAGGTGCCAGACTTAACTTTGTTTAGATGTAAGCGTAATTGTACATTGAGAGTGTAGACAATGAGGGGTGGTTAGGTTTGGTATCATACCCAACTACACAAACTATTGTTTAATTTTGTTAATAACTAGATAAATAGTCGATAAACAATCGTCGATTTGGTTATTGTTGTTGTCCTTGTACATATAAAATGTTTTGTAGATTTTCTATTTTAGTTTGTCGAGATGTGTACAAAGTAATTAGTATGATTTCACCACGTTCGATGTTGTCGACGAATATTTCGATGATAAAACTTATAAATATTGTTTAAAAGTATTATTAGTATACAATGTACATAAAATATTCTGATTTTTTTTTTTATTTTTGAAACGGTCGCAGTCACTTTTCTAATGCAACCTTTTCGTGACATTCTCTGGAATGAACCAATCGAGTCAAATTATAGTCATGTGGGTAAATATCAAAACGGATAATGTTTCTGAATCTGTTGTAATTAACGGAGCTGCCGTTCGATATGTTTAGAAAATTCGAAGCTAATAAATTACGTTTTCATCTAAAAATGTGGCCTTCATTGGGTCATTTTGATTTGATGTATATTTTGTTTTATAATTAGTGCTAGATGCAGGCTGATTGTATCCAACGCCCAGCGGTTGTGTCAGTATCTAGCATTAAATGATTGGAGCTGTGAATATCTAAGACGTGTTTCTAAAAATTTTGTAACGAAGGCAAACATACATCGATCAGTAATATAAGATAATTTATTAAGCATTTTACATAGACATTATTTCCCACATTATCAAAAGATATAACATTTTCTCAGGTCACAAATTAAAATTTAATGGCAATAGTTTTGAGGCTTGTTAAATAAAGATAAATCATCTGTATTAAGAACATAGATGAAGAAAATTTCAATGTGACCAAATCGAATACATTCGCTTAATATTAAATGTTCTATATAGATATTTATAGAATATATACCTATTAATTATTATTATTATGAGTAAAATTATGTAACGATTGTAATTAAATCTTTATTTCAATGGTGTAATTTTTATTTTACGTTTTTATCCTATACCATTTATTTAAGACATATTTGATTAGGTACTAAATATAAACAATATCTGCATCAGGAACTACTATTAAGGATGGAAATCCTACAAGTGTGGAATCAAGTACTTGTCTTAAAACTAAATGTATCATTACACATTTATTTAAAAAGAAAACAAGAAACAATTCTCTGTTGCTGAAACCCGTTAGTAAGGATACATGAAAAAAAGATTCACAAGGCGATAAAAGACTACCTACCTGAGTATTTTTAAACTTAAACCAAGTAAATTATATTATCACGATCATTTCATTAAAATTCAAGTTGACCCAAACCTTTTTCCATTTGCTCACAATTAATACTTAATCAGAGGAAACAGCTATTGATATTCTACCCTTTTCTTAAGTGCTTAATCGGAACTAAATTAAAAGAATTCGACTTTCAAATGGTCTGATCTTAAGGTACCTACTCGCTTCCATACTTCTAAATAAAATGGGAAAAAAGTCTATAATGAGCCGCTAAAAGTCGTTGGGTACTCGAAGGGTATTCGGAGGGTTCCTCCCTCACTCTCAACACTTAAACAATACTTAAAAGCTAATAAAACGAACCTTTTTTTAACTTTCTAAGATAAAATTATGGCCTCTATTTTCGCTTTAGCGGGGATTATATTAATTAAAAGCTATGTTTTTGCAAATAAATAGGTTTTATTTCCGCTTATAGCAAAATAAAATTATTTAATGAAATGTGTAGGAAAACTGAAAGCTTTGTTTAAAAAAGGAAAGACGCAAGTAGTTGTAAAAGATAAACATATTTAGCTTATTAGATATTTTCATTATGAGCCACGCAACCAACCCTTGTACGAGGTACTTATTAACCCTATTGAGCAAATACAGTGGGAAGATTTAATCAAATCAGCTTTATATGTGATGGGGAGAGTGAAACGATGCGATAATTGATTTTATATTACGAGTATAGGTACTGTGATTTAATACTGGCTTTTAATGGAGGTAAGACAAATAAAACGAAAAACTTATAAGCACATATTATTACCAAAGTATAACATATTATATTGATTAATAGGAAAGAGTTTGTGCGACGATACAGCAAAGAGTTTTATTATATTGTCTTTCTGTACTCAAGATAATACCTAAGGCATCACACTTTAGGAACAAAGATCGAATTCAAGATTATCTCATTACTACTACTGAAATAAAATTGCATTGCAAATTTGGACATAGTAAAAAAGTTCACAGTGTATTTAAATACAAATTGTAGTCACTTAATAAATTTATTAGTAGCCTAACAACATGATAAGTATTTGATTTAAGCAAGTTACAAAGAAGAGTAATAAGGACCTAAACCAAGAATCTAGTACCCACAGTACCTACCGCAAAATGAATGTGGATATATGTGGACCTCTACACAACAAAATCAAATCAACAAAACAAATATCATTGAGCAAAACTTATCTGGACAGTAAAATGTGTTCATTTAGTAACGAACAAAACACACGATTGCTTAACTTAATCAAATCCGTTGGTATAACAATTGAATCTGCAATAAAACCGCTTCGCTAATAAAATAGCTATAAACATTGACAACACAAATAGCAGCTAATAAGCAATGGAACCAATCAGGCTGAACGTATGTGACACCAATATACTTTATGCGTACCTTTATAGAGATCGAGCCTTGTAGATGATTGCCTCAATAAAGTCGTTTGCTGTCCCAGCTTTTAATTGATTGACCTAGCATAAAACTTTATATGAAATAAACAAATAAATGCATTGTGTTGTTCACTTTTATCTGAAGCTTGATTTGAGATATCAAGAATATAGTACAATTGAATATGTAATATAGCTATGTTATTATAAATAGGTTACCCAGAAAATCAGTAATCACTTAATGGTAGGTACACACGAGTTTTTTATTTCTTTATGATTATTCTAAGTACTTTCTTTTGAAAGGAATATCGAAATAAACTTTATTAGTAATCGTCTTGTGTGCGGTGAAAAATTTTAGATTTCATATTCTATCAAGTATTGTGCAGGTATTATGATGTATCCACAAGTCTCTAAGATACATTTTATGAATTATTTGCTCCGACTAGGTATATGCAAGTGAAATCTAACATTGCGCTCTCAAAATTTTTGACATCCCTTTGATTACGGTCGAACTAGTTTGAGTAATTCATGCAGACTAGTCCCGTAACCAGGAAGTTAGGTTATCGTTTAACGAGTTTCCAGCGCTGTCCGACAGATGGCACTTGTGGTAGCTACCGCGCTTACCTTGCTACAAATACATGGCGCTACAGCCATGTATAAAACACAATTTCTACTGTACTATGCCACACGAGTTTATTCTTTATTATTTTATACGACTAACTGAAATTGATAAGACAATCACAACAATTATAGTAAGCTTGTATGCAGTCTTAGCGACGAAAGTAGGTAACTATAAAGTTGTCTACCGTGTGTTTGCAATATTTCTAAGGAGTTACACTTGTTGCCAGGATTATGATTTGTATAGTTTTTGTTTATATTTAGATTGACAATAACTAAGTTATATTCTACCTAAATTAATATCATCACCATATCATCGGCAAAACTCCTAAATAAAGGAACCTTCCCACATGGATAAGGAGCATTGATCAACACAGTTGCTAAAGACAGATTAGGAGGAGTGTACCTATCCCTATATTCCTAAGCATAAAATAATTTCTGGTCCTTATTAAACTTTTATCATACAACAAACAAGCTGATGTATTGTGGTGTTTATTCCTAATAACGTTCGCGTAGTTCTAGGAGCGTGCTGGAGGTCTGTCACCACAACCTGGATCGGCGCTGGGCAACACATCGACTCCGTAAAGTCAACTTTCACGTTGAGACACGTTTACGTTTGGTGCCTTTATAATATTTTATATTCATCTTGGGTTAACCCCGAGTGTGCATCGCAGTCCAGTTTGCGGTCCGCGGTCGGAACTTAGCGACGGCGCAGCGCGACCGTCAACCGCGCCCCGTGCCGCCCGCTCACAGTAATTCAAATAAATATTTAGATTTCCAACGTCGTTTACTGCTTCGTGAATGTTATTCTGCTATTGTTCGCCGAGAATGGCACTTATTGCGAACGCGCCCCGAGTTAGCTTTTTTGAGCTTGTAAAATTTATTAGGTGTACAAATGGAATTGGAGGACAATAAAAATAAACAGTGTAGGTACGCCCTCGCGTGAGGTCGCCGTCTGTGATTTAATGCTATGAGTGTTCATTATGACAAGCACAATCACAGTCTAACACAGTGTAGGCAAAAACACAGGTGGCGCCGGTACACCTGCCTCGCGTCGAAAGTGCCGAATCTAATAACCTCAGATTTGGTTGCGAAGGGGCAAATTTATTCATAACCTCACATTTATCACCGCAGGCCGCTCGGAATAGTTTTTCGCATGTATGAGAAAATTGCCGAGGCGAAATTCTATCACGCCGCGTCCCGAGGAGGGCGCGAGCCGTTAGAATTTTGTGCACCTTGCCGAAACCAATAAATCAAACTATTGCGTAATGCTGCCCCTATATGCATGGAGATCTGTGCGGAACTTCAGCTTTATTTATTGCATCTAAACAGATTTTTATGAACGATTTATGAGACTGGAAGTTGTTTGGCCTGTTCAGTATTTTAATCATGACTCAAACATTCAGAAATTTGTTATAACACGAGTTGAATGAACCACGAACATAGTTAATTTACAGATTAGAGTTTCACTGCCTGATATTGGATTATATGATGTGATGTTTAATAGATTTTACATCCTTAAGACTTATTTAATTTGTTAATTAACGATTATTATCTATGTAGCTACATTAATAGACTATTCTGCAAATCAAGCAAACACTGATAATATGAGACTTACATTAATAAATTACAGTTGTTTGGTGGAGCAAGATATATCTAATTATTTATTGTGACATAATGTGTTAGACGTCATGTTATTAACTAAAATAGCCATCAATAAATCTCTATGACTTCGATAAATAGGTTTGGCCGACGGTTCACGCCGATAACAAACTAGTGGCTACCAGATGTGTGCCGGGCGCGTATCGTAGCATCGATCGCTCCCTACGTCCGAGATGTGATCGTCGGCATTCCACCATCCCGACATCGGAGATAACTGAAAACATTACGTTTAATAATTTATCTACAGCAATTCGTCTGCGCTCGGCTCCCTGTCTCTTGTATCGGATGCGCTAGTCGGCCGCATCAGCCGCATGCTACCTTCCTACAACGAGCCACTAGACAGTACACTTACTAATATTAATGCGGTCACAGATAAGCCTGATAATATTACTTAAATTTACTGCAGATACTTAACTGATTAAAAAGGATAATTTTCCCATATCAGTTAAAAGGTACCTATCAAGTTTAATGGAGTTGCTCCGTCCTTAATGACGGTAAGAAAGACAAACGTACCCAATGTGTCTGACTTTAAAATCATCATTTAATTTTAAATCAGAGTACAGTGAAAATAAGCACATTTCGAAGGATACCTTCTTAAAAGCAAATTCACGAATTGAATATGTACAACGCACACAGCCCACGCTTTTGAAATCGTTTAATGTAACCTATAATAGAAAATTGAACACTAATGAAATCGACCGTATTATAACGTCGATTTCTTATTTTAGCAAAAACATACCTAATTTCTTTACCAAGTTCAGAAATAAATAACTAAACAAACCTAGTCTAATATAAAACGGACGAACGCTTACTTCATTAATATTTCTATCGAAATCAAATACTTAACTTTGGAATACTTTCACGGCGCAATCGACGCATAATCCGGGGGAAAATCAATGAGACATTCCTACACGACAGAGGATTCGCGATTGAGAGGAACTTTGGAGTTTAAATGAGTTCACCTTTAGGTGTGATTTTGGCTCAGTATACTCACGTACTTGCACTGATTATATTTGCAGGGATTCAAAAAAATAAATAGGTATCAATCAGTCTACA